CACCAGAGAATTCGATCCAGTTTGCGCTACAAACGGAGTCACCTATGCCAACCCTTGCCTCTTCAGATGCGCCAAGAAGACCTTCCAGTCCATCGAGATCGCTTACAGCGGTGAGTGTGGAAACCCGAGGGAAACCAGGAATTTGGACTGTCCTTGCACCAGGGAATACCGTCCGGTTTGCGCTACAAACGGAGTCACCTACGCAAACCCTTGCCTCTTCAGATGCGCCAAGAAAACCTTCGAGTTCATCGAGATCGCTTACAACGGCAAGTGCTGAATAACGAGCAAATTTGCTAATAAGTAAACTAAATTATAGATGAAATAAATTAAACATTACATTACCAATATCTATTGTGTTTTTCCCCTACATAATAACCTTATTTAAGTATATCCTGATTAGTAGTACATAACTTATGACGAGATGGCGCTGCAATCAAAATTCGTTATTTTTGTTTGCAATTAATTAATAATTTACCTACACTTTTTTACTCTTCGATTTTTCAATAAATCTCTATGACAATATTAAATATGATAATAATCAAATTAATAAACTTTCCTCATTTCACCAACAGATTGCTCCACAATAGAACCAGTTTTACCAAATAAATGTAGTGAATTGAGATTTTTTTTTTTTACAAGAATTGCTATGATCAAAAGATGGCGTTTTGAATGATAATAATTCGAAAACAATAAGGATTAATCTGAAAGTAAATTTTGAAATTTGTTAAAATCTTCGTTGAACAATGGATTTCTGTTGTTTTCTAAATATAAAAATGCATTGGACAAATAGATTTGAGTTATATTTTGTATCAATTCAATTGTATATTATAAAAAAAGTGACAGTGTAACGCTTCTTTTATGGCACTAAATTCTGGTGGAACAAATATTTGTCTACAAACTTAATGCAAATTTCGTAATAACTATAAAATTATTATCTTTTTGTTGCTTCAACTCAACTCTTTCGAATGGATTATATTTATAAATATATTAAAAAATAATGGAACTTTTGTAAGAATTCTTTTTGAATTGTCACGTTATTTATAGATCAAAACAATAGGTATTATATTACAAAGAGTGTTATTAATCTCTACGTTAATTTGCATAAGGTTTAAGTTGATATTTTGAAAGAGAATTTTCTAATATAAATAGCTCTTGAATAGTGGATGTTGGTACAGTTTCTC